CAGGAGTTAGTGGCCTACTGGAGATGATGATGGCTGGTGAGCTGGAACTACTTCTGATGGCTGGAGCCATGGGTTGGCTGTCAACTACTGAAACACATACTACACTTTGATCCTCTTCATCTTCACCATGGAAGGCCTGAATATTTACCCATTCCTCCCCACTGAGATAGGATGTGACACAAGGTCAGGCTTAATGTGGGAAACCTGAGCACGTGCACTCAGGCCAAGTACAAAAATTGCACAAGCCTTTTCAACTGTTGATTGCACTGGCCTTGGTGGTCATCATCAATCCTCCTTTCTAGTTGATGTGGGGCCGAAGTTGGGACCACAGAAGGAAAACAGGGAACATAAATATATAATAATAAATCATTATCTAAAATGATGAAAGATCTTTCAAATTAGCAAAGATTGTTCAAGTCATGAAGAATAGAATAAAGCTGAAAAAAGAACAACAAATATGAATTCATGTATGTAGGGAAATAGCAGGAATTTTCTTTGAGAAATGATGAAAAACAAAAATAATTATAGTTTTATTAATTAATGCTAGGGATTAGAAATTGTGAAAAAAAGTGTTTTCACAGACAAAAAAATATGACAGAAATCTGAAAGTGTATTGGAAAGTATTAAAAGGAGTTCAGTTGTTGAAACAATGTTTGGAAGGTTTGCTGAAACAAGTGTAAAACAAAACTTGAAATAATTGCAAAGAAGTTTAAACACCTGCTATGGCCATACAATTTCATTTGTATATTGTTATTTTGCATGTTGTTCTGCCATTTAGAAGATAGAAACTAGATATTACAACTTTTAAGCTGACTCAGGCACTGTTAACTGGTTTTTAAGATTTTATCAGTAGAAGTTTCAAAATATAGAATCAGGCCAGTGAAAAGTCATGGAATCAACAAAATTTGCAGAGGTTCTCTTGAGATATTTTTAATCATATTTTTAGATAACCAAAATTTGCACAGATAATGAAATGATTTTTTTTTTAATTATTTCATCCCAAGCATTGTGGGAGTTACGGGGAGTGAAAGTGAAAGAAAAGACTGAGTATAGGGAGGATTGAGGAAAAGGCAAAAGATGAATGGGATTCAAGAAGATAGAAGATGCTATTGACATTGCATTTAACCTTTTGAAGATTATATTTATCAGGGAAGCAACTAAATGGAAGGGAGTTCCACAGGGGGGATGTGTGGGAAAATAAACTTTTGGAGTAGAGGTGGCAGTTGCATTTTGCTATTTCAACAGTAAATGAGTGGGACCTAGATACCAATCTAGTAGGACACTTAAGTCAATGTATTCAGGGCACCAGGGAAAAAAAGCTTGTCAGAGCAGTTGCCATGAAAATATTTGTAGAAAAGACAGAAGGAAGCCATGTTACATCAATGAGAAAGTGACTGAAGTCGAGATACCAAATCAGAATCAATTACTTTATAGATCTTTCTTTGGATTTTGTCATGAATATTGAAATGAATAGCAAGATATTGCTGAGTATTCAATGCTGATTTGTATATATGTAAGATGGACTCTGATGGGAAAAATTTTCAGCCACAACAAAGTGTTCCAACTTTCTTTGTAGTGGACAAAGCAATTGATTTTAGTTTTGATAATTTTAGGCAATCATCATCATTCTTCTTTTATATGCTATGTTCTTTCATGATGTGGATGATCATAGCTCTCCTCAACTTCCTGTCTTTTATGTTTCAAATATCTGCGAAGAGGAGTTATCATTATTTACACCATTTACATGCAGAGTGTTGTCCTCATCTTTGTTACTGCTTTCGCAACATTTCGGCCATTGTACTTCATCAGGATCAGGCCCAGAACTATCACCAATCACAATGAACAGTTGTCCTCTTAAGGAGCTCCTATGCCTTGAGTGCTTATTGGGACTTAAAATCAACCCAGATTTCAAGTAGAACTTTTATATATGATCCATTGCTAAAGATGCTAGAAAAATGGTCATTTTTTTTCCCCCTACAGGAACTACCTGATTCCTCCTGCTATCCTCGACATTTATAAGAGCCAGATCAGGCCAAATAGAGAGTACTGCTTCCATATATGGTCAGGAGTTTGCCTTCAAGTCTTGATAGCGCCCACATCCTACTGGATGACAAATTATTTTCCCCCCACCACTCTTTTCTCACAGATGAAACCTTGCAAACCTTTCATTGCTCTATCAGTATTTCCATGAACTACAGCTGGGACCATAACAAGTGCTACCAGCCTGGGTCAAGGTGGACCTGTGAATAATAGCAATTAAGAAGTGGTTCTTTGCTCCTCAAAACATCATGATCAAAGACCTTGCTGCTGGATGTAGTTTATCATCATACCCAGGATCCACTGCACTTCTTGCCTTTTCTTATGCTTATACCATACCATGCAGTTACCCTCTACATTGAGTCACTCTTGGGCCATGTATAAGGTGAACATTAGTATAAAAAGAAAAAACAGTGTGTCCAGTATTCATAGCCATATAGAAGATTAGATATTACATAGTAGAAGATTACTATTATTTGTTAAGAAAAATTATTATCTCTTTAGTAGTGATTTATAATAATAATGATAATAATAATAATATTAATAATAATAATAATGGCAATCTTGCTGTCACTTGATCTCTACCAAGATCCTACTGTTGTCAAAACTGAACATGCCAGCAATGAGGAAGTTCTAAGGAAAATAGAAACAAAAACAGGACACTTATACTTACAACCAGAAAGAGACAGTTGGTATTTCTGAGAGAGAAAAGACGGCTTGGTGAAATGAACACTCAGAATATATATTGAAGGCAAGAAAGACAGAGGGAAACAGAGACTAACCTACCTAACAAGCTTGTGTAAATGGATAATGGAATAGGGACTGGTAGTAAAAAGGTAAATATTAATAAGAGCTAAAAAGGATAGGAAGTTGTGAAGAGCCATGATTGTCAGGAAAGGACATGTTACATAAAAGAAAATAAAGAGTCAAAAGAAGAGTCAACCAAAATATAGATGTAAACTTCAAGATTGACAAATAATAAAACTACCACAGTATCCATAAAAACTGATTACTATTTACTTGGATTATTTAAATGTAGTTTCAGTGATAGTAGTAAGAAAAAAATATTAAGTTTTGGAGTATTAAAGAGCCTTACAGAAAGTGCTGGAGTATTGAGGAGACTTGCTGTCACTTGATCCTAAATTAAATCCACTAGATACGATTGGTTTATAAAGAAAACTAGTGTTAAATAATAAAAGTAATAATAATGAAGCTATCCAGATGAAAGAATTACCAATATTATATAGAATACCCAAAGAATGCTGTTATATTCAGGAGATTTGTTCTCCAGTGAAATCCTTTAGATATGACTGGTTTGTAAACAAAACAATCAAAATGAAAGAATTACCAATCACATCAAGGACATGCAATGCCACTTACATAGTAGCAAAGCACCCACATTCCCTTCACATTCCATCGGTGGCAAGTAAGTGCCTCTCTAACAGATTCTTCTTGTGAACCACCGTTCTGTGGAACAAACTCCCAAGAGGATGTTTCCCCGATCAGTACAATCTTCAAGGCTAGGGTGAACAATTATCTTTCACTCCTAACCGGAGAAATTGCCTCATAACATAACCCTCTACCTTGAGTGATCCCTGGTCTTGTAAAGAGTGAACTAAAAAAATGAAATAATAAAAAAATACCCTGAGAGTGCTGGGGAATTGAGAAGACTTGTTGTCACTTGATCTCCAGTGAAATCCACAAGATATGACTGGTTTGTAAACAAAATAAGTGCCAAATAATAAAAGTAATATTAACAAAGGAATCCAGATGAAAGAATTACGAATATTATCATCAATGCACAGAGTATGCTGAAGTATTTAGGAAACTTACTGTCACCTGATCTCAAATGATAGACATCAGTGACAAATGGTGTGAAAAGTAAATGAACACAAACAATAATGTAATGCTTGTTATATTTTTACCATCTGAATCTCAAACATTCTGATAGCAGATGCTGATAAATTACTGGGCAGGAATTATGGACTCCTAATTGGAGCACAAATTAGAGCTTCACTTAAAGCACATCTTTTTTCCTCTTTGTCGTTAATTGTTGTCATTTCTTTCATTGTCAATGCTGTTTGGTTTGTACATTCCTTGGATAATGGTTGTGTGCTAAGGCAGGCAAAGTTTTAGGGAGAACCATTCCATTTGATGCCTCATAGCAGTGCAGAAAATTTAAAGTGAAATAGCAAACAAACGAGGTAAATGGAAACAGACTGCACTGTAAATTAAAAGCTAGAATTTTAACTGCTGATGCACTGATTCTGTGATGGTTCAACTGAATGAAGAACCACACACACACACACACACACACACACACACACACACACATATATATATTTGTATATATGTGTGTATATCTATATATATATATATATACAATACATTCTGTCGTCTTGTAGTTAATAGTCCTTTTTCTCACTTTCTTTTGCAACCTTCATTAGGAATTTTTGTAGATATGCTTCTGAATCATCAACAGAGTCATTTTTTTTGTTAAGATTATGCCTGCTGATACTAAGTCTTGGTACAAAGACCAGGCTCAAACTACTAAGAAAGCTTGATATATTTGGGAAGGATATTAGAATAATCCAGAACTTATACTGTGAGGAAATCATCTGCATATGGATAGAAAATGAATTCAGTAAATACACAAAAATATATTGATTGTTTCATTTTCTACATGTTATCAACCCTTTGCAGGTTATTTAAAGCCAGAAAATATTTTTAGAATTTTTTGTTTTTTACTTTTTGGAGATAATAATGATTTATTGATACAGGTCTTATTAATTAAGCCAGACCTTCGGGAGATGAGATTGATTCATGCCTTTCTCAAAAGTATTTTTGTGTAAGTGAATATAATAATTGAAACTGGAAGAGCCGAGTTCCAATTCCAGTTGGAACTTGGCACCCCGATTAACAATTCTAAGTTATTATCCATTACATCCCTTGCATATCCAAGATTACAGAACCTGGTATTCCCAAGCAGTCACCCATCCAAGTACTGACCAGCTTTGATGTTGCTTAACTTTGGTGATTGTATGGGAACCAATGTTTTAATGTGATATGGACGTAAGACTATACAAAAATAAGAATGGGGCGAAAGACAAGAATATGTGTTCTCATTGGACTTTTTCAACCTTTACAGTGAGACAATCCTAAGAGAATTAGAAATCATACCAGGATTCATCAATGCTTGCTGTAATCTTAATAACATAAGAGATGCAAATGACAGATTATTCATAGCCGACCCAGAATGGAAAATACAGGAACTCCTATAGAAGATAGTAAACGAAAGCAAGAAGAAAGGACTAAGGATCAATTGTAAGAAGGCAGAATGTATAGTTGTCAGCAAAAAGAAGATCCCAGGAGGTGAATTAAAAATTGGACATGCCAAAATCAATCAAGTACAAAAATTTAAATATGTTGGAAGTATTTTAATAGAACCTGGAAAATGTGGCACCAAAATCTTGGAAAAATGAAAGTGCTTTCTGGAATAATTTGACTTGTATTCTAGCTATTTTTTCTCAAAAAATACTGTGGTTCAGTGGCATAACTAGAGTGTGAACAGAGGTAGTGGCACTTTTATGAGGGCAGCACTTTTGTGTCTGCTGTAGCTTATAAGACTGTATAGGGTGTATTGAAATAAAAGTAGTTTTAATGTCAGGACAGTACTCACAGTTGAAGAATCTTTTCTATTTCGAGTAACTTAAACTATGGCATGCAGGGTGCGATGGATAAATTGTCGTCTAAGTTATGCGAAGATTAAAATAACACTGACATCTCATTTTAACAGATATATTTACCAAACCTTCACAAGAATATCTTGAAATATTAAAGATTTTTTGTTTGATAAAATTACCATTGGCATCAACCACGGCCTCCAGATGACCTTGGGATTTTTTGTCTTGTTTAAGTTGGTGAATACTGCTATAATCCTTGCCTTCAGTTCATCTTTGGTGTTACAAGGAGTTTTGTTCATCTCTCACTTAACTGCGCCTCATATATAATAATCAAGGGGGTTGAAGTCTGAGGAGTTAGGTAGCGCTGTGGTTGCAGAAATTGTCTGACAGCCATGGCTAGGTTCTACTACTTATGTGGCATGGTGCAGAGTCCTGTTGCCAGATAGGATCTTCTAGCAGCCACCCTCTTGACCCAGGGTCACACTGTACTCCTCCATATTGAGTCTGAGGCCCTGTGGATAAATGAATGGAGGCATAACATCACCATCACTAGTGATCAATCCAAACACCAGGATGTCAACTGGATACTTGGTTTTCATCACTTTCGGTAAATCTTTTGGGGAAACAGCATCCTCTGCACTGTTCTTAGATTGACATCCAAACACTCTGAAATGTTCGTATTGGAGCTTCTGGTGCAAATGCCAACCAGTTCAGCATGCTATTTCCAAATTTCTGGCAGAGTGAATTGTGTCATGGTGCTCTTTTTCTCACAGACAGTGCCCAACTGACCCTACTATACTGCACATTCAACACGCACAAAATTAAAAATATAAAACCCATCGCACCCTGTATATATTAAGAGTGAGTCACTGTGCAATATGTATTTTTTGTGAGGAATGCTGATGAGATAGCAAACTTAAGGGATGCCTGGGTGGCATACACCCTAGTTATGCCACTGCTGTAGATTATTTTAATATCTTACCCATATGAGTTTTGCTTACCTAGCAGTTCAAATAGGTTTTTATGTTGTGAAGCCTGCAAATTCAGTACTCTTTCATTTCAAAACTATGTAGAACTTACTGTCTTACAATGAGCAGGATGTCTTTACTGAGAACTCTATACATAGAGCTTCCAACCAAAATTTTCTTTGCCTAACAAGACAGTTATCAAGCAGTCATATCATGATTTAATATTATATTTAAGGAGCATTTGTAATTATTATTGTATATTATTAAATCTTATATAGAATTATTATTTATCATTGAAGCAGCAGTATCTCAATCCAGTGATGAATTTAATATAAAATTATGACAATATTTCACTTTTATTGGGCACATTTATTAGAACAGTCAGGTACTGATGAAACTTGGCATGTTCCCTTTATTTGACAGATGTTTCTGCAACATACAACTTATAGCTGGAAGCCATTTTGTCCTGTTTTTTCCGAATCCTATCTGCTTTGATGTTAGCTTCTTTATAACATATCACCTTCGATATTATTACTTCTTCTTCTTCTTCTTCTTCTTCTTCTTCTTCTTCTTCTTCTTCTTCGTCAACCATTTTCATCATGGTAAATATTGCAGATTATCCTATCATTCCCATATTACTGATTTATTTTGCAAAATAACAAGTTAAACTGGGCTTTCTAGCTTTGGTTGGTAACTAGTTGGGACAATGCCAAAAAAAAAAAAGGAAAATTAGTAAAATAGAGTGTTGACAGCTATTGTAGCTGTTAATCCCACTCTGTAAAAAGCTCCTTAATATGATCAACACATGCTGAACACATACTTTTACTCCTGATGTAAAAAGGCAAGTCCACATCATGAATGATATTTGGGAGAAATCTTTCTTAAAGACAGTGATCCTGAATAATATTCTTTTTAGAAGAAGAAGAAGAAGAAAAAAAAATTGTATAGAGTACATTATAAAAAAAGTCAACGAAAATAGTTGAATAATAATATATTGTATAGAGTACATAATAAATACACTGAAAATGGTTGAATAATAATATATTGTATAGAGTACATAATAAATACACTGAAAATAGTTGAATAATAATATGTTGTACAGAGTATTTAATAAAATCATTGAAAATAGTTGAATAATAATATATAGTATCAAGTACATAAAAACACTGAAAATGATTGAAAAATGATATATTTTATAGCGTATTTAATAAAAAACACTGAAAATGGTTGAATAATAATATATTGTATAGTATCTGCAATAATGAATATTCTGAAAATGGTTGAAAAATAATTCATTGTATGGAGTATGTAACCATGAATAACCTGAAAATAGTCTAATAAATAAAAAAATTATATTGACTACCTTTATGAACAGATTGCAAGGAAGGTTTATATATGCAGACATGATAATGATAGCTATAAAACATAATCATTATTATCAGTATTATTATCTTAGGTAGTTTAGCATTTTGCCAAAGTGTTCTGTGCATTTTTGTGCTAGTATATTCCACAATGTCTAAATTCTTGTATAGGTAGCTGCCATTCTTGACAAGTCCACTGAAAGAGAAGTGACCTTTGGTGGTCACGAGATGTAAGAGCCTTGGCAACAAAATGAAATAATTGTTAATAAGAATCGTGTGCGTGAACAGTCTTCATCTTGTACTGCAGCTTCAACCGAGAACAAGGAAACGTTTTTGACTGTAATTTAACAACTTTGGCACAGCAAGCAGCCAAGTGAGCCAGTCATGACGAAACATTAACAGTTTCACTGCCAAAGTTATACATTGACATTTTAAAGGCTTTCTTTTCTTATTGTTAATCTTGGTCAAAGATAAACATATGTGGTTTTTAATTGCAACACTTACTTATTCTAAATTAGCGTTTGATTTGTAAATGTTATGTGTATGAATTTTAAAATAATCTCATTTATCCACTTGTTTGGACTAGTGTCCTCACCTTGGTTGTTATTGCCACAACAATTACTTCATTGTAACCTTCTTGCCCTCTTCATGTGTCTGTTGTAGCTGGTAATTCAACTTGAATTGAACTCAGTATTCAGTTGATGGAGGCAGACTGTCCCTATTCTGATGTCCTCCTCTATGGCAGCAGATGCTGAATAATCTCCTCACATATGAAAAAGAGACTTGAAGCAATAAAAATGTGGTTCTGTAGAAGGGTGTTGAGAATACAATGGACCGAACATGGAAATTTTAGAGAAAACAGAAACAAAAAGGACACTTATACTTAATATTAGAAAGAAATTTCTAGGGCGTATAATGAGGAAAGTTTAATTGGAAAATTGGATACTCATACGCAAGAGGAGGAGAGGAAAACAAAATGTAACCTACTGAATGGGCATGAGTAAATGAATGGCAGATAGGATTTAGAAGAGAAAATAAAAAACAAAATTTATTAAGAGCTACAAAGGACAGGAAATTGTGGAGAGTCATGATTGCCAAAATCCTGAAGGGTCATGGCACATAGATGTCTAGTTAATCTGTCCTTCTGATATTCTTTTTCTTTTATGTGCCATGTCCTTTTAAGACATGGTTGATGATGGCTCTCCACAATTTCCTGTCTTTTGTAACTCTTAGTAATGTTTGCTTTTTTATTATACTTCCCACTACCTGATCTGACATACATTTACACAAGTTTATTGAGTAGGTTACTGTTTCCAACTGTTTCTTCAATATGTCCTGTGAGTGTCAAATTCACCAAACCTTCTTTCCTCATTATGCGGTCTAGAAGCATGACCTTCTTGATAAAAGCATTGGCCCAGAAATTAAACCCTCTCTTTCTAGTTCTAAGTATAAGTGTAGTTTTATTCTTCATTTTCCTTAAAGCTTCCTTGTTACTGACATATGGCATCCATGGTATTCTTAGTATTCTTCTGTAGAACCACATCTTAAGTCTCCCCTTCATCTGTGAGGGAAATGTTCAGCTTTCTCTGTGATATGAATACTTTTTCTTAATACTTTGCTTAGCCTTTGGAAGACATCTTTCACCTTCAGATTTCAGTGTCACAGTTTCTGTCCTCTGTTAAAACTCTTCCCAAATATTTCAATTCTGATATTTCTTTTCACTAAATATAACTTCTTCACTGAATCAACTTGTGTACAACTTTTTTGCAATACTAGAACCATGGATTGAACTCACAACTGTCAGGCAACTAACTTTTGTTAACCAATGCTTCTCATGGAACAATTTGTTGGTGGAAACTTGGAGCCATAAACCATTTTTTGTGTCTCTTTGATTGAATAAGTGTTTATAACTTTTACACTGGCTGTAGTTTTTTATTAATATAGATGTTATATTTAGTGGGTATATGTGTTTGAATAGATATTCCTGTTTTTTAAACAGTAAAATGAATATCTACCAGCATAGAGATTGAAAGCCTTATTAAAGAAAATGCGCCTCTATAGTA